CCCCCCCCCCCCCAAACTGTGTATTTACGGAGAAATAAGGTTTAATATTACCAAAGGAATAAGGCAAGACCTAACACGGGTGCTGCTGAGAGGACAAAGGAGGGAGAGCAGGCACTGAACAGATGGATAAAGAAAACCTTGAATAATTTCTAACTCGTTTCAATCCGAACAAAATATACCTAATGTATTTCGATAATATTCCTAATGCAGTTTATAATCTGGGCAAAAGGAGGAAACATGGGGGAGAAAAAGCCCCGCGTAACAATATCCTGCAACTCAGGAAGGTGTGCCAAGTCCCTTCGCTCCGCATTTCGTGGGTATCTTAATCCTGGGCCATCCAATTAAAGAAAACCTCATTCGGCGGTTTTACGAGCGCAGCACATCAACTCCCTTTGTTTACACACTGGAACAAGATGTTCTTTCCTGTTCCGACAAGAAAAGGAGCTGAAACGCTAACGCGGGGTTCCTGCGCGCTGGCACCGGCCCGCCCGGGGCTGCCTTTGGCTCGGCGCTCCCGCAGCGGGTCCGGCCGGAGCCGGGAGGGCACGGGCGGGCACCGCCGGGGCGGCGGACCGCCCCAGCCGTAAGTAGGAGCCAGCGATGGGCTCGCACTCCGGGGGAGGGCCGGGCGGTGTGTCGGGCTGGTTTTACGAAACGCGGTGCGGCGCGAAGCGGGCAGAGGGCGGAGAGGGAGGGGAAGGGGCCGAGGGGGCCGCCCTCGCCACCACCTCCCACCTCCGACCGCCGCCCCCGCCCCGGCAGCGCCCCCAGCTCCGCGTCCCCGGGGAGCCGCCGCGCAGCACCACGGGAGTTGTAGTGCGGCGGCGCCGGCCGGCCCGCCATCCCGCTCCCCTCGCCGCCGCCCCCGGCCCGCGGCCCCGCTCTCGCGAGGCTTGGGGGGCGGGCGCGCTCTGGGGCGGGGGGCGCCGCCGCCGCCGCCGTGGGGATGTTGGGCGCGGGCGCGGTTCCCCCGCGTGACGTCACAGCGCATTGTTGTGAGCGCGGCGGAGCATCCCTCAAGCTGTCACAGCTGTGCCGCCGCCGCGGGGAGCCTCTGCCCCCACCCTCCTCCTCCTTCTCCTCCTCCTCCTCCGCCCCCGCCCCTCCCGCC